AAGGCATTTTTTTTTTAAGAAAAAAAAAAACCTTGGAAGTAGATGTTTAATATTTCAAATTAAGATTGTTTAGTTATTAAATATCAACTCAGAGCAAAACTTTGCTTATTGGGAGGAGAGCAGAGTAGTGTCTAATATAATGAGAAAATTTGTAATACGTATAAATATTATGATAATATAACAATCACATGAATAAAATAAAAGATAAATGAGAAATAAAGAAAGATATAATATTATATGATTTGATATAATATTATATGATTTGAGATAATTTCAAAATATTATGATGTGTCAATGCCCCTTAATTTAAGATATAAAAGCCTTTGTGTGTTTTGCATGTTTATTATTTTTCTTCATTTTTTTTCTTACATATGAGTAACTCTATTTATAGGATGAGAAATATATAATATAAGAAAATAATAATTAATTGAAAATCTCCTATTAATGAGATAATAATCAATATTAAATCTTTGAAATCTATCAATTGATAAATTAATTTCTCTTTGGTTGATCAATATTCATAATAGCATGATGTTCCTTTCTTCTACAGTCGAATCAATTATTATATGATTTTATCCTTTTCTTTCTTCTTTTTATAATAGGATGAATCATTTTATGATTTGTTCCTCTTTAGAGATGCCATCTAGAATGCAAAAGATATGTCTATTTAATTTAGGTTTATGGATCTCCACACACATATATAGAAAATTAAGTATCAATCTGTATTATTAAAAGTTAGGTGAAAAAATATCTTAAAGTCGTATTATTTTAATAAAGTTTCAATAAAAAGGTTTAAAATATTTTAATTTTTAGAGAAAGAATGAAATTATTTGAGTTTTTTTTATAGTATTTTATTAAAACGACATAATTTTAGAGTATTTTTCCATTTAATTTTTTACAATACAAACTTATGCCCATTAATCTCATATGTGTATATATATATATATATATATGAGGTTAGTGAGTATCAAATCGGATTCTAAAAAATAGTTGGAATCTTAATTTATATCTGAAAATTGAAATATTATATTATTAAATATTGATATGTAGATTTAAAAATCCATTATATATTCTAATATAATTAGAACTTAAATCTAAATATCAACATTTAATAAAATAATTTTTTACATTTTGAATTAAATTTTAATTAAATAAAATAACATAGTTTAAAATTAAAACTCCAATTATTTTTGAGAATTCGAACTATTATGCACTTTTTTCTCTATATATTCACTCTTTCAACTTATCTTTTTCTTATGTGGGATCTTGTTGCTTACACATATATATTCACTCTTTCATCTTTTTTTTTTTCTCTTATTATGGAGTTTTTTATTTAAATCCACCCCTTCACCTTAAATGTCAACATTTTTTCTTTTCGGACAATGTATTACCACCTGCACTAATCATGAAATCACGAATTACATATGGTAAAACCTTCAAATTTACCCTGTAAATAGGTTGGTAGGGACAAATTCACTCATCAAAAAAATACAAAAAAATACAAGGACAAATTGCTCATTTAAATTATAAATCAAAACAAATAACTTATTTTTTAACAAAAAAATCAAAATTTTGTTTGCTATGTCAATATTTTAAAACATAAAACATTCAACAATATATTATTTATTTTAATTTATAATTTGAATGAATAATTTATCATTACAATTTTTTGAGAAGTGGATCTATCACTATAGATCTATCACTACCAATCTATTTGAAGGGTGGATTTGACAGTACTACCACTGCTTATGGATAGTCTTATTCTTTCCCAATAATTAATAAGTGGTATTTTGACTCTTTACATTAAAAAAGTGACCTTCAACAGAAAAAATTAAACTTGATTCTAATTTCACTGTCAACACACTTGGTTAACGTGTTCATCAGGTAACAAAAAATAAAGGCATTTTTTTTTTTTACAAAAAAATCCATTAGGAATAAGTTGTTTAATATATCAAATCAATTTGTTTCAATTATTAAATATCAACTTAACCAATCTTTATATGGTGGGAGGAGATACAATTTTAAATGTAAAACATATATCTTTTTAAATTTATGAACCTACACATATATATTCACTCTTTCTACTTATTTTTCTCTTATGTGAAATTTTTGTACTTAAAGCCACCTCTTCACCTTAAATGTCAACATTTTTATTCGGAAAATAAGTATTATCACGTGCTCTAATCAAGAAATCACGAATTACATATTGACAGTATCATTCTTTGCCAATAATTAATAAGTAGTCTTTTGACACTTTACATTGCAAAAGTGATCTTCAACAGAAAAAACTAAACTTGATTCCAATTTCGACAAAGAAAGGCATTTAAAAAAAAAAAAAAACATTAGGAGTAAGTTGTTAGATTCATCAAACCGTGTTTTTTTAATTGTTGGATATTAATTTCACCAAACTACTCTACATGTTAGGAAATGGCGCCATCTTAAATGCAAAAAGCATATCTATTTAGATTTATAGAACTTCAGATATATATTCACTCTTTCAACTTATTTTTCTCTTATTATAGAATTTGTGTACTTAAATCCACCTCTTCACATCAAATGTCAGCATTTTTATTCAGACAATAAGTATTACCACATATTCTAATCATGAAACCATGAATTACATATGGACAGTCTCATTCTTTCCCAACTACTCTTTACCAACTACTCTTTATATTACAAAGGAGACTAATTAGTATACATCGTAATTCAACGCACTATATAATATATTTGTTAAAAAATTAATTTTTTATATAAAATTACAGGGACAGGGGTGGGAATTTTAGAAGACATGAGTGAGGCTAAATTCTCTAATTCTTTAAGGTTGGTGTGGTTAGAGGCCAATTTTATTGAAAATTTTTTTACTAAAAAAGCAATATATGAAAAATTAGAAACTGAAAAAGTAATAGATGAAATGTTAGAAATTACTTCAAGGAAGGTTGATAAATATTGTAATGAAATCTTGTTAAATTATTTATTTTTTCATAATTGATATGAAGTTTATATTGAGAGCAGTTGAGAGAAAGTTATCAAATGAATCCTACAATTAAAAAATTGAGAAAAAGTTTTTCTTTAAATAATGTGAGAAGAAAATATTGTTTATTGAGAATTGTAAAAAAAAATATTATATGGGATTATTTATAAGGTGAACTATATTTTTAATATACACTTGACATGTAAAACACTTTTCATTTTGTTAAAAATAATTGTTTCTCTTTCTCTCTCTCTCTTTTTCTTTTGTTAAAACATTTTTTCCAACCCTCTTGTTTGGTCAAATTTCTAGTGTCATGTTTAATTGACTATAATTATTTTTTAGTCAAACTATAAATATAATACGAGATTGAAAAACTTATTTCACAAACTAGGAATAGAAAAAACATCTTCATACATCCCAAATTTATCAAGAGTACTTTTTTTTTTTCTTATTTTCATAGTTTAGATTGATCAATTTTTTACAGTTTGGACCATAAATAATTGTAAATTGTAAAACACAATTTTGATGCTTCTATCTATTTTAAAAGTTGATCCTTACTCTCAAAATTTTTATAAAATTTACCAAATTTAGAACTATAACTTTAAAAGCTTTGTTTAGAAGTCACAAAATTGTTCACATAGACATTGGCGTTTTAGATACTGAATTCAACTATTGAAAAGGATAAAAGCTTAAAGATTGTGTTTAGCAAAATTGTTTAAACACAAAATCTAATTGAGGGGAAAAAAAGGGGAAGAAGTAGAAGACTTGACTCCAATTTCATCAACCGTCTTTGGCTGGTCCTCCTTTTTTTTTTTTTAATTAGCAAGGTAGGTGAGGCCGTGATGAGAGGGAATCAATTAGACTTCAATCCAATTTCATCTGGATATATATGCATTTCTAACTTGATCTTTTATTAAGAGAAAAAGAGAGAGTTATTTGGATTGATTGAGAGTTATTCAGGATAAGCATCTTCAAAAGGGTCTGCTAGTTCATAAATTATGTCAAGGGGTAGCCAGCACTCATAAAAAGATATATCTTTTAAACAAATAAGGTTTAAGTTTGAATATTGTTATACTTGGGTTCCCATTTAGCATCCGTAAAGACCGGGAAATTAATATTTCTAGAACAACCCCACACACATGCATAATTAACTGATTAAATTAGTGTGTGCAAAAAAAAAAAAAAAAGAGGAAAATTGATCGACATGATTCGTACAACGTTAATGAAAAATAAAATAAAATAATCCTATCTAAACTAAGGAATTCCATAAAATTCAATGTGTCTTTAATTATTTAAATTCATATAAAAATGTAGTAAGTTAATAGTTAGTATAGATTTGATGTAATTTGAAAAAGTATATCAAACATGAAACCTTGAACCAGAAACATCATCATTTAAATATTTGTGGCTTTATTTGGTGGGTCTTAAATTCTTGAGAGAGACCCATTGGGTATTTATTTGAGATTTTATGAGTATTTTTAATATATTTATTGATATTTTAAAAGAACCATTGAGTATTTATTCAACATTTATTGATAATTTTAATCATATTTATAATATAGTAAGATAGTAAGACTTAGCAACCAGTAATTATCTTGAGGCAAACATATATATCCTTCATTCCCAAAACTAATCATTTGCAAACTCCATCTGAGATGTTTGTGATTTTTAAATTTTGATTTTAATTTTTAAAATTTAAATAATCAAAATTGAAAATTAAAAACCAAAATTAAAATTTAAAATTAACAACTTATTAGATATAAAATTTTAGAATTAATACTCAAAATTTCAAACTTAATTAATTTATAAATTTTTTTAATTTTTTTATGGAATTTCTAAATTTTTATAATCTAAAACAAAAAACTTAAAATCACAACCAATACTTAACAGAGTAGTTAGTATCTCTAGTCATAATAGTTAATTTTACTGAAAATCTTGGCATTGAAGGAGAATTTGCTGCCACCCTTTGTCGTTATACATGCTTGACAACACATTATAAAAGCACACAGCCTCCTAAAGTATTCATCCAAAAACCATTTCACTTAGGCCATATGCCCAGCATGATCACTTCCATTTTCACTCATTTTCTTCTTCTATTTCTCGTTCACTTATTTTCTAATGAATTTATATCCCTCCAAGCAAGCGAATTTGGTACCTATTCAACAAACTTCACAACTTGTTGGGAGATAGAGAGAAATGCACTCCTCAAGTTCAAAGAAGGTCTCAAAGATCCTTCAGGCCGGCTTTCTTCTTGGGTTGGCAATTATTGTTGTACATGGTCAGGCGTTGGCTGCAACAAGCAAACGGGACATGTCACGAAGCTTGACCTCAGGATGCCCATTAATTTTGCATCCTTACAAGGTACGATAAGTCCATCATTGCTTGATTTGAAATATTTAAACTACTTGGATCTAAGCTGGAACAATTTTGAACAAACTCCAATCCCCAACTTCATTGGTTCATTCACCAAGTTAGAATTCCTTGATCTCTCTTTTGCATCCTTTAGTGGCTTGGTTCCTCCCCATCTTGGAAATTTGTCAAATTTGCGTTACCTTGATCTCTCCTCAAAATTTTCAGACCAAGATACTTTGGTTTCTGATTTGAATTGGATCCTTGGACTCTCTTCGTTGAAATTTCTCGGGATAGATATGGCAAACCTTAGTTTTGCATCAACCAATTGGTTGCAAGCTATAAACATGCTTCCTTCCTTGACGAAGTTACATTTGTATTCTTGTAGACTCCATGACATCCCTACCTCTCTTCCAATTGTGAACATCAGTTCTATTCAGGTCATTGATCTTTCATCAAATCATTTCAATTCACCATTACCCGGTTGGTTGTTCAATCTCAGTTCCCTTGTTGAGCTTGACTTGTCTTCTAATGGCTTTAGTGGACAAATAGCTTCATATTTAGAAAATCTTAATAACATGAGGGATCTTAATCTTTATTACAATGATCTCTCAGGTCCACTTCCAATTTCTATTGGAAACTTATCATCCTTGGAGATTTTATCTCTTTCTCAAAACCACTTGAGTGGAAAAATTCCTGAAACCATCGGAAAATTGAAAAAGTTGATTTGTTTAGATCTTAGTTTTAATAGTTGGGGAGGTGTTGTGTCAAGAATTCATTTTCTCCACCTAAACAATATGAAGGAATTTTTGTTATCCTCTGTTGAAGAAAAGTCACTGGTATTTGATGTGGGATATGACTGGATTCCTCCTTTCAGTCTATATGTAATCTTCATTACAAATTGTCAGATGAATCCCAAATTTCCTATATGGCTCCAAACTCAAAAGGAACTGGAGATTGTTAGCCTTGCAGAAGTCGGAATTTCAGGTTATGTACCTGATTGGTTCTGGAAACTGAGTCCACAAATTATCCTTTTATCTCTTCGCAATAACAAATTGCGTGGAGAGCTTCCAAGATCATTAAAATTTCAACCATATTCTTCTGTAGACCTCAGTTTCAATTTATTTGAGGGAACGGTTCCACAATTGCCTAGTGTCCTCACACTTAGTTTGAAACATAACTCACTCTCAGGACCAATTCTAGCAAATTTTGTCGATGCCATGCCACATTTACAATTTATGGATCTTTCTGAGAACCACTTTAATGGCACAATTCCTTCTTCAATAAATAAGTTGGAGAACTTGAGATTTCTATTGCTAGAAAAAAATGAGCTTTCTGGAAAGATTCCTTCAATGAATAGATTGAACAAGTTAGGGACATTAGACCTTTCAAATAACAATTTATTTGGCAAAATTCCAAGCTCCTTGTGCTCACAGTCTCCTCTTGTTTATCTGAGATTGAATGGCAACAATCTTTATGGGAAGCTTTCATCCTTGCGAAATTGCACAAAATTGAGGATGCTTAGTCTTGCAAATAATCAGTTCCATGGAGGCATTCCAAGATGGATTGGAGAAACTCTATCTTATCTATCAATACTACAGTTACGAGGAAACATGTTTAGGGGAAAGATACCAAAAAGTTTGTGTAGTCTTCCTCTTCTCCATGCTATGGATTTAGGGCAGAATAATTTTTCAGGATCAATTCCACCATGTCTGGGAAATCTAAGTAGCCTGTGTCACTTAAAAAATGAAACTTTTGTATCTGCTGCCGATGTTCTTGCTACTAATGATTTTGCTGCTGTTGTTGTTCCTATTACTTATACTGATGCTGCTGCTAGTACTGCTGCTGTTAATGTTGTTGCTGGTTCTGCTACTAGTCCTATTGCTGATGCTGCTGCTATTGTTGGTACTACTGATGTTGTTGCTTATGAGTTTACGACTTTCCTTTTTGAAATCATCATGGAATTTAATGTTAAAGGACAAACACTTGAATTTGTTCACATCATTGAGCTTGTGAATTTGATAGATTTATCAAATAATAATCTTGAAGGGGAAATTCCAGATGAGATAATGAAGCTTTCTGCCTTGGATACATTAAACTTATCTGGGAATCAGTTAACAGGAAACATCCCTGAGAAGATTGCAGACTTGCGGGTATTAGAAACTCTTGACCTCTCAGTCAACCATTTTTCAGGCTCGATTCCAATAAGCATATCGTCTATGACCTTGTTGAGCCATCTAAATTTGTCTTATAATGATCTATCTGGACCAATCCCATCAGCAAACCAGTTCCAAACCTTCAATGATCCATCCATTTATGAAGGAAACCCAAAACTTTGCGGAGCTCCATTGCCAATCAACTGTTCAACACACAAACATGATACTCCAGAAGGAAATACTGGGCAGGACAGAGATGAAAGCTGGTCAGAGAGGTCATGGTTCTACATTGGAACAGCATTTGGATTTGTGGTGGGATTCTGTGTTGTTTGTGGAACTTTGGTGATCAAGAGGTCTTGGAGACAAGCCTACTTTCGTTTTGTGGAAGAAACGAAAGATAGGATCTACGTCTTCATGGTAGTGAAGGCAGCTCGTTTGCAAAGGAAACTGAAAGGCAATGAAAGAAGTTGAGATCGTGGTCAAGGTATTTATCTTTCACATCTATTTATGCATAACACATGTACAGCTAAAGCACAATGGTCAATGGTCAGTACACTTTTTAGTTCACTGTACTATATAATATATTTATTAATAAATTATTATTTTTTAAATTTAAATTAAAAACAAAAAAACCTTGAAGTTGTAGATTTTACTTATTAAATCAATAGGTTAGTATATTGAATCAGATGATGTACATCATTTTACATAACTCAATTTAACTCTCATCTTTTATCTTCTTCTTCTTCTTTTTTTTTTTTTTTTTCTTTCAGGTGATAAATTTGTTGTCTTTCATTGGGTTATTACTTCTACTCCAAAACTACCATTTGTGTAGCCATGAGATGTGTAGTTTCTACGTAGGAGGCTTTGAATTATAAAGTCATACAAGTTTGGTGGATGTTTATCTTGCGTTTCCAATAATAATAGGTTAGTACAAGTTTATTACGTCTATTGTCATGGAATGTGGGTATTTTCATTTAGTTGTTATGTGCTCATGAGTGTTATTGTGACTGGAAGAAGTTTTCTTATTTATGTTATTTTGATCAATGAAAATTGATATTTTGAGTGGTTGCGATCCAATGTAAGCTTATAACCTAAATTTTATTGATAAACGTACTTCAAATTCTTAAAAAAAAAAAATGCATGACAAGGTTTTAATCAATAGAGTAATGATATATTGACCGAATTTGCGGAGTCGAATAGAAAGTCGAATGAGCTG